TCTCCTGTTTTCTGTCTTGTTCTCACACACCAGTTCATTTTTTATTTCCTCTTTCTCCAAATCAGTTTCTTTTGTCTCATCCTCGTCTTATTTATCTCCCAGGTTTCTTGTACCGCCCGTCTCTCCCTCTTCTCTGATATGAATTTCTCAGTTATAATTCAATCATTATTCCCACTCCCTTGACTTGTCCGCCTTCAGTCCTTTCTTTGTGCTCATTATTTGAGCATTGTCTATTATTTGGCTCTGGTCTCTTTCCCAAATATCCCTGTTCTCTTTTTCTCTCGTGCTCTTTTTGTTGCTAATTTTGTGCACAACTCTCAGCTCTCTCATCTGTCCATGTCACAGACTTTTCACTTGTCATTCTCTTATTTACATGCACCCATTTTTCACATCAGTCTCTCGCATTTGCTGTGGAAACAGTGCTCACTTGTGTTCTAGTTAAGCTTACTTCTCGGCCTTTGTTTTTGATTTTCAGTCCTCTCTCCATCCTTCATGAGCTCCACGGGGGACACTTGTCTCACCTGTCTGTCAGCACAAAACAATCAAACCATAACTTATGCACAAACACACACAAATACTCAAGTGGAAATGCTCTTGAAGTCCAAATACACCCGGAGGACACGTACTCGATCTTACCCTAACACCCAAAACAAGTGCACAAACACATATTTATGCACATAGCAGAAATTAAGAGCCCTACATTTTGTTCTCATTCTGGAGAGATCCATCCACACACACACGGAGCATCACAGACACCTCCACACAGATATCTCCTCACACTTTCACGTATTCTTCAAATCTAAAACTGCCATTTATGTAACTCTGCACATTTTAATCCTCCTCGTGACCAAACAATCCACAACTTCCAAACTTCTCCCTGATCCCTCTTTTCTTAAGCAGCAGAAGTCATCATCTACTGTAAAATTAGCTCTCAGGCTTCATTTTCTTGAAAGTTGTAATGAGCACACATAGCCAGCCCTCCATGCTCAGCCTCACTATACACACTATGGTTGTACTATTGTGTAATCAGCAATTAAAAAAGATTTTATCCAACCTAAGGGCATAGAGTTCATGGCAACATTTGTCTCTATGGTTGTCGCTGGACTTGTTACATTGAGCCAGACTGAAGCATCTCAACTACTCGATGGGTTGCAAACATTCATGGTCCGTTTATAACCTACTGGCTTTTAATGTAATACCACCATGTGTTTGATGTTTTTGTTTTTCAGTGAGACGTCTCAACAACTACTGAAGGTATTGTCATTGGTTTACCATGCAGTTTGATGCAGGAAAACTTTGGTGATCCTCTGACTGTTCAGCTACATCACAGGGTCAAACGTCATTTTAATTTTTTTAAATGTGGTTTTCTTTACACTGAGCATTACAGCCGCACAGAGCCACTATATTATGTTGTTCCACGTCAAAACACTACTGTTTAATTCCATGTTATGTTTGCAGAGATGTAACATTTTTAGTGGAGTTGATTTTTAACTAACTAAACTGTGCACAGAATGTAAAACTTCATGACACCATATAGACGACATGGCCTCAAAGGTTCATGAATTTTAAAATGCAATAAACCATCTGGAGACCTCAGTCTTATCCTTTAGTCACATGCTCAAATGGAAAGGAGGTGGCGCTCCACTAAGTCAGAAGTTTTTCATAGCCTGGAAAGATAGTTTAATAACATATAAGAAAGCCCTTCATAGTGCCAGAACCGCATTTTATTCATCACTGATTGAGGAAAATAAGAACAACCCCAGGTTTCTTTTCAGCACTGTAGCCAGGCTGACAAAGAGCCACAGTGCTGTTGAGCTTAACATTCCCTTAGATCTCAGCAGCAATGACTTCATGAGCTTCTTTACAAATAAAATCACAACTATTAGAGAAAAAATGGGTCGAACCACTCCCACAGCTCTCGCAGATGTGCCATCTACTACAATGGCTTTAGAAACATCTGTAAGACCTCATTTATACTTGGACTACTTCTCCCCTATAGATCTCTCTGAGTTGACCTCAACAATTGCTTCATCTAAATCATCAACATGTCTCCTGGACCCCATCCCGACCAGGCTGCTCAAAGACATCTTTCCCCTAATCAACACATCCATACTAGATCTGATTAACCTCTCTCTATTAACAGGCTATGTTCCACAGGCTTTTAAACTTGCAGTAATTAAACCTCTACTCAAAAAGCCTACTCTTGACCCAGGTGTCCTAGCTAATTAT